CTCATCGAGCCGCTCGATTCGACTATAAGCATGCCATGTTTGGAAACCGATTGGTAACCCAAATTGTGGTTTGAATCTTCTAACAGCTCTTCGAGTCTTCGATTTGGCTTCATTTGGGCTCGGATTGAGTCGAATTTGGTGTCGTTACGTTCATATTTCCGAGACGATCAGTTCGACTATAAGTTTGCTGAAATCGGAGTTCAGATGATCCCGAATTTAATTTTTGAAGTCTCCAACTTGATTTTTGCCTCGAGATTCGTGCTCGATCAAGATAATTTTTCGAGGATATATCAATAAAATAGTAAGAAAGCTATCCCAATTGAAGCCTAAGTTTATTAATTATCAAAATTATTTAATCTTAAAGAATAAATATAGCACAATTATGTTTTGTAGAATAGAGAAGAGTTTAATATAGATTCACAATAATGGATTTTCCTACCTAATGTACAAATAGAGCTTATTAGTCAAGCAGATAGCTAATCTGAGAATCGGCAAGCCTATTTAAACTTAAAAGCGTCACTTCTATCCCAAAAAAAAAACAACAAAAAATAAAATTTAGGCTTAAAAATCTGACGTAGTAGAGTAGCTTGGGATTGCTCAATGTGGTTTAGTTTGAACCAGATTTCTTATTGATTTTAAAGCATTTTTTTAGCATAAAAATTTCTAATTCAAAAACTTTATGTGAAAAAAATGTTATTTTAAAAAACAATAAAAAAATTATCACAAATAAAGCCCAAGTTTCTTGTCGGATACGTAGAAGGATGAAACCATGAAAAAATCAATAGCCTTCGTTTGTGTAATAAAAATTTAAAAGATAGATTTGATAAAATATAAATTTTGATGCAATATTTGAGTTTAAAGTTTCTAGTATTAAATTTAAGATCATCTAAATTATGATTTCAACAAATTTTTAGCTAAATTAAACGTCTTAACGAAATGAACCCAATGACATAAAACATGTTCCAAATGGAGTTCAAATGCCCGTAAATGAAGCACATTTAGAAACTTTAGGTCATTAATTAGAGGATCAAATGATCTCTGAATTTTATGTGCATATAGTTAAAATATGTGGCTTGATGAGAAGAATCCAAGAGACTCTAGATCACTCAATTCTTGAGTAACTAAGGTATTTAATTGCCAAAATATGATTCACAACCAAAGAAATCATTAAGGGTTGTTGCCTGAAATGTTTTGTATTATTAATGCACTTATCAAAATATAACTCAAAAAAGTCAAAATTATCATTACTGATCGTTGTTGTCCAACTTCTATCATTTGATTGTTATCACCCGACTGTCATTTCTTGAATATTGTTGCGCAATGACCATTGCTTGACTATTGTTGCTTGACCTATATTGCCAGACTTTCATCTTCTAATCACTACTGTTTGACCATCATCTTCACCTTCTGATGCTTCTTCAATATCTTCAATAAAATCAAATTAGTGTTCACAATTTTATAATCATGTATTCTCCAATTGAGGGGATAAGCATACCTATGGAATCTTACTCAAATAGGGTATCATTTCGAGTAGGCGCTGCCCCATGAACTTTTTTCCTTTAAAGATTTTTAAATAAAAAATTATAATATCTCATATGAAACTCTTATTTTATTTGCATTTATGTTGGAATGCTCAGGAGATGAATGAATTTCTTAGCTTACTAAAGTTTTTAATATTATTTTGGAGACTAAAAAGATGTCGGATGAGTGGAGAATGAGTATGTTGATTCTTATTTTTAGGAATAAAGGTGATGCACAAAATTGTGCGAATTATAGATGAATTAAGTTACTGTAACATCCTTTAAAACTATGGAAGAGAGTTATGAAGCATAGGTTGTGGCGTGATACTAATGTTTCTCAAAATTAATTTGAATTCATGCAAGGTAGGTCTACTATGGAAGCTATACATTTATTGAGAGAATTGATGGAGAAGTGTAGAGAGAATAAGGAGGATCTGCATATGCTATTTATTGATTTAGAGAAAGCAAATGGAAAAGTTTCAAGATAAGTTCTATGGAGGAGAGTTGTAGAAAAAAAAGGTTAATAATGCTTATATTCAAATCATTAAGGATATATATGCAGTGGCTATTACTAGTGTTCAAACACGAGGTGGTTGGATCAAGTATTTCTTATTTCAGTTTGATTACATCAAAGATCAACCTTAAGTCCATATCTTTTTGCTTTAGTCATGGACGTTCTTACTAGATATTTGCAAGAGGTTGTACCTTGTGTATTCTTTACGCTAGTGATATTCTTCTTGTTGATAAGACTAGAGAGGGAGTTGAAGGTAAACTTGAATTATGGAGGTCAACCTTAGAGTCTAAAGACATTCGTTTGAGTAGATCTAAAACAGAATATATGGAGAGTAATTTTAGTAATAATAGATATAGTAGGGGGATTGTGACTTTGGGAGATCAAGTCATTAATAAGAGCACATGTTTTATATATTTTGGGTCTATTGTTGAGAGTGATGGTGAAATAGATAAAGAATTCAAGCTGGATGGTTGAAGTGGAGGAATGCATAGGGGTTGTTGTGTGATAGAAAAGTCCTCTCAAACTTAAGGGAAAATTTTATAAGATGGTGGTGAGGCCTACAATGCTTTATGGGGCAGAATATTGGCTATTAAAAGCGAAGCATAATATTAAGTTAAGTGTTGTGATGAGGATGCTCAGGTGGATGAGTGGCTTTACTCTTAGAGACAGGATATGAAATGAGCATATATGTGAAAAAATTGGAGTAGCTTCGGTGGAAGATAAGATTAGAGAGAGTCGCCTTAGATTGTTTGATCACATAAAATGATGGCCTTCCAATGACCAAGTTAAGAAAGGACATTTATTAGATTTGACTTATGTTAAGAAAGATAGAGATAGATCTAAAAATACTTGATTATAAAATGTTAGAAATGACATTTCCTTATTATAATTAAATAAAATTCTGACTCTTAATAGGACACAATATAGAAAAAGGATTCACGTAGCCAACCCCACATAGTGGGATAAAGGCTTAATCTTGTTGTTGTTGTATGTTGGATCCTTATATAAAATTAAAATATTAAACTTTTTCTCTATTGTCATAAATATTTTACCACACAATAAAAATAAATAAATAAAGCACATGCACATTTTCCCTAATTTTATTTTTGAAAAATATAAAAATTGATATTATACCAACATGTTCAAAGCTATGCTGAAAAATGTATGGAAACATGCATTCAAATTTTTTTTTTTTATTCAACGTTCATTACTACGGCGTCCCAATCAAAATAAATAAGCTTACGAGGACATTCGTTATTAATGGACCAAGTAAAATGGATGAATTATGACCGTCACTAAATATGTGCATCCATGGTTAAATTATGATGATTGGGAGATATAAGAGTCAGAATTCTTTGAGATTTTATCTGTATCAGAGAATATTCTTGTGCCTATAAGACATGTTCTGATGGTTATAAATAATGTTTAGGTACATACGACCATATTCTGATGTTATAAGCACGAAAGTGATATATAAATGGTCAAAATCCTTTGAGTTTCTATTTGGGTCTTAGAAAAAAGAAAATGGATATGAATTGTTCTGCGATATAAATTTCAAAGTTTACTATTCTGTAAAATGAATTTCAGTTTATTATTTGAATATCTGGATAACTACTATGTTTTTACTATGCTGCTCAGTATAATGATTTTTTATACTACACTTAACTGCTTTTTAAATATTCTGAAAATGTTTAATAAAAAAATTCAAAAATTTAAATCGTTTGTATGGCCTGTTGAGCTGTTATAGCTCACTGTGATTTTGTTTCTGATTTTCAATATTTAGAAAAGAAAAGGAGATTGTTGATTAGCAGATTTAGAATTTGATCTGAGTTCATAAATATTTCTCTAATTTGATTTTTTATACATTCATAATTAGTTTAGTATTCAATTTATTGGCTTATGTTTGATAGTCATATACTTTAGTGTAGATACATTTTGATGAAATAAAAAAAATTGTTGATGAATTTATTTATAATATTATGAATATTTTAGTAGATATGCAGTTTGTAATTTATTTAAAATAAATATTAGAAGAGAATCTAAAAAATTCCAAAATTAGAATTTAATATTTACCTATCGTAGGCCAGCACAATAGGATTTGTCATGATCGGATTGTGTTGGGACGCCAACACACCAATGATAACAAATCACAGAAATAGAGCCTTGAGGAGGGCAAATTATTACGTTCAACACGCCAAATACATCGGTTCCCAGCGTATTTGGGTGATGTGGCGCATCTGGATTGAAAGTCCGGACGTCCGGTGACCGGACGTATTAATTCGCCCTTGAGGAGAGATATTAAATGAGAATTTCCTATTTGCTGCAACAGCAACAACACAAATTGTCTTCCATAATGTAGATATTATACCAAAGGGAGGTTTTCAAGAGGATTTATATTCAAGCAACCCAAGGTTGCCAATAAGCTATTACAATCATAGAGCCTACCAATAAGGGAGCATCAAAAGAGAAATTATTTTTTGCGGACACCGGACCGTCTGGGGGCGAAATAGAGCGCGCCACATCACCCGCTATATAGTGGGTACACAACCATGGTACACAACAAAGGGATGATGTGACGCATTCTGATTGACCTCCAGACGGCGTCCGTATCCACCAAAAAAGGCATGGTGAAGGTTTTTAATTGCAAGGATATTCAGACCACCAAATTTCTTAAAAAGAGTTCTTCCAAAAATGAGATGGACTATGGAGTTTCTTAGCATTAACATCACCATGATACAAAAATTTATATGAATTTGTAAATTCGTAAAATCTAATTTCTTTAAAATAAGACTTTTTTTTTTTAGTTCTATCTCCAATTTTATAGTGGCATAAAGCAAAATTCTTCCTTAAGATATCATATATTTTGAATGAAATTTATAATTGAGTTGAAAAAACCTTTTGGTCATCTAATTATTTAACGGCAATCCTCTTCCAGCTCCGATCTAGTTCTCGGACATCCTCCTGTCATGGCAGCCGTCTTGTCCTCCGTCACTACCCAACTCTCTACTGCCACTCACCGTCACCTTCCCCCCTTCCGCCGCCGCGACAGAAACACCGTCCACCTTTACTCTCCTTCGCCTCCGCCGGCCACCGCCAACGCCACTATCAACACTTCCTCCATCGAGCACCGAATCCAAGAATCCCTCTCCCTCCTCGACCTCATGCAATCCGAATCCATCTCACCAGACCCATCTCTCCTCTGCTCCATCCTCAAGTGCTGCGCCGACGCTCGCTGCCTCCGCCTCGGCCGCATCGCCCACGAAAAAGCCGTCCTTGCTGAACTCGACACCGACCCTTTCGTGGGTAATAGCCTCCTTCTCCTCTACTCCCGCTGCGGCTTCCTTTCCACCGCACGGAAACTATTCGACGAAATGCCTTCTCGAAATGTTGTCTCCTGGACCACTGCCATCTCCATGTACCACCACGCCGGACTCCCACACGAAGCTATCAATCTTTACCGACTGATGTGCGGCGGCGCCGCCTTTGACAACTCGGTCGTCAAACCCAACTGCTTCACCTACACCACTGTGCTCAACTGCTGCGCGAGTGTCAAGGACTTCGAATTAGGTGTTAAGGTACACGGGCAGATTGTTGATGATGGGTTGCAGAATGACAAATTTATAATTGTTGCGTTGATCGATATGTACACAAAATGCGGAAAGGTTTGTGATGCACGCAAGGTGTTTGATAAAATTCCCGAGCTATCAATTGAGGCTTCCACCGCTATGATAGAAGGTTACAGTGGCAATGGCCAACCCAAGGATGCAGTTGATGTTATGAGGATGGTTTTGAGATCAGGACCATTAGCAGAAATGGTGATTGCATTGGGTTTTACTGCCATGATTCGACCTTTTTTAATGGAAATGGCACTTCGACATGGACAGGAAATCCATGCTCATATCATCAAATTTGGGCATAAGCCAGAGAACAAACATCTGAGTGCGCTTCTGAATCTGTACGAGAGATGTGATAAGATGGCCATTGCTTACCGAGTTTTCAAAGAATTGGAAGTCAAAGAGTTTGGGCTATGGAGAAGATTGTTGTCTGGATTTGTAAGGAATGGATTGTATGCTGAAGCATTGATGATTTATGCTGAGATGACCACTTTGGATTATAAAATGAGTCATTTTGTGGTGATTGAAGCTCTAAACGCCTGTGTTGGGATGCGGGGTCTGAAAGAAGGGAGACAGATTCATGGCACATTGCTTAAAGTGGAGAATTTGATGGGAAGTACTTCACTCACTGTTCTGTCTGAGCTTTACATTACTTGTGGGAAGCATGAAGAAGCTTTGAAGGTAAGTAATTTGAATGTAAATATTAAAAATTTCATTCACAGAGTAACACAATAGGCTCCTGCTAAGATAATAGACAAATCTTAGAGATAGTAAGAAAACACTTATTCTCGAGTTCCTGAGTTTCTAGTAATTATGTGATATGTGATTATCTGCAGATTATTATGTAAATAATCACTTGTAAATTGTAATGATAAAAATTTGTTGGCCTTTTGCAACGGAAGATCACTTTAAGGTATTAAGAAAGCCAAGTTGCATGCAATTTTTTTTAGTGTCAGACCTCTTCTGTGTTGTTTTTCACCACCATCATGGAGTTCTATGGGTACTTAACGGTCGGTTCTGGGTTTGATTCACTTGAAACTTCAGCTTTAAGCCCAAGCAAATGGCAGCCTAATATAATGCCTGATGAGATTTATAAGCATTTATGACAATTTAATTGAACTTATAATCATGTAGTGATGATTAGATCATTGTCAAATCATTAGATCATTTGATTCAGATCAGTAGTAGAATATTGTAATGAAATTAGTTTGCATTTTACCTGAAATTAATCTGAACTAGGCTCATTTGGGACGATTTTTTTAGTCTTTCTTAAAATAGTTTTTTTTTTTTAAATTATTTTGATGAATTTATATTGATATATATAAATAAATATTAATTTTTCTCTCAATATAAAAAACGTCATAAATTACTTATCTATCTATAAAGAAATTATTGATATATAAATTGCAAGGAAAAAGATAATATAAAAATGAATGTGTAAAAAATTAAAAAATAATTACATGAAATAAATAGAATATAATTAAAAAGAATTCAAGGCTATTTTAACATTTATAATCAAAGATAGAAAATACATCTAATAAATATCTAACAAATTAGTGAGACATGGATACCATTGCTAAAATCATTCAAAATATTTTGCAAAAATGTATTTAACACTCTAACAGTCTAACCAGCACAAAAAAAAAAATTTTGAGAAATAAAAATTAAGGTAATGCTGATGATTATGACGACCAAGACGACTGTTCAGTTCAAGATTTGCATCTCGCACATCAGAAATCATAGAAAATCCATAGCTTACCAATCAGCTTATTAACTCTCTTGGTGGCATTTAATACAACAGATTAAACAGCCTAATCAGTACATAATCATCTTAGGCAACTCTCATTGGTCTGTTAGTTGTGAGCTTTGATTATCAACTAAAAGGTCTTAGGTTCAAATTTTGCATATGAGATCTATTTTCCTTGACTTCAACCAATACATAAGGGGGGGTCATAAGATGAACATAACACATACAATCATTTGCTCAATTTTTATGTTTCTAGAGAATCTAATAAAAACTGAGTTACTTGCTCTATATTATCTTTCTCTCACATTTTCTCTAATTTTCTATCTATTATTAGACTCACATACAAATTTAGATCCAACTCAAACAAAACCCTCTAGTAACTAGGAACTAGGCAAATACTAATTCAATCACCGAGAGCAAAAAAGAACAAAAACAAAAGCAAAGGTCGGCACACAAAAAATATAAGAATCTTACAGGTTAGCCCAATTGATGGCTGCGGCCAATTATCGCTGCTCCATGTTTCATTATGATTTGATTCTGGAAAATTGTAGTTGTAATTCCTCTAATACAAAAAAGGTTGGTGCCTACTCATTCGAGAAAGTGTTAGAAATTATTTTTCTTTATTAAATTTAAATGAGAATTTAACTCCTAATCAATAATAATCCACCAACAAATCACGTATCATCTAACTCAAGAACGAGCTTCATCACATTATCCTTTTCTTTGTACTATTCACCTTGGGAAATGAATGGCACCTCGATTGTGGCAGCAGATCTCATCTCAAATTCAACCCAAACCGTAATCTTATGATTGCACCCAGTAAATTATCCTTGATAATGGCCAAACTTTTCCTATTTCAAACATTGGACAGGTCCTCTAACCACACGAACTCAGACGTGCCTTCTCCAAAAATAAATTCATGTTTCACATATTTCCCATAGATTTCACTCTGTTCATAAATTCAAAACCGATAACACGTGTGTTATGTATGGAATCTGATTGTGTTGATCAATCGGGTTAGTCTATTGCCTCATACTGCAAGTTTCTCGTGCTCTTTGTGGGACGTAGGGGTTTACCCCTTACTTGGGTTTGAGCGCTTTGCACCCGAAGATTTTTTTTGTTACAACGCCCGGCATTGCATACCCGAGCGCCTGAGCACTTTATTCTCATGCGCCCCATCCCTGAACGACAGAGAGTGGAGCCCTGCAGCTATCTAGATATGACGCCGCAGCAGATCAAGACAAAGGTTTGAGCATCGCAACGCCCTAAACTAGCATCACAACGCTATGAGACGGTTTTCTTTTTCGTTTTTTTGAATGGTTGCATCCCTTGGGGTTATTGACTTGGCTTTCTCTTTTATTTTTAGTTAAGGAAGATATTGAGAATGGTGCATGTGAGAATAGAAGCAATGTGAGAGAGAGAGAAGAGAGATCTATACTTTTTTCTACCAATTTTCAGATTGGATTTCTTTGTATCGTGTGGTGTGGCACCGTGGTTTTTTTCTCTATTTTGGGTTTTTCCATGTTAAATCTTAGTGTCTTTTATTTTTCCGCTGCTTTTTCTTTCTTATTTGTTTCGTTGTTGTGGTGTTTTACTCCTCATCTACCACCAACGTGATATATATCATTTGATGCAGTCTAATACAACATATAAGATTCAAAAACCCACCAAAAACTCATCAAAGAACCTTGTCAGAAAGGCCAATATCCGATCCCTTCTCCTTATGTCACAAGTGTCACCCAACAATTGTACTTTGCTCTTCACAAAGTCTAACAATGATACTTAGCATCAGCATCTCGGACAACATAATTCCTCCACATTTCCTTTACAAAAAGAAATCCTTTACTATGTATTATGTGTAGCTTACTATTATGGCCTTAATATCACCTAGCAAAGAGTCATTGACTCTCTTATTAGCATCTGCTACACAATCTCAACCTCGTAAAATTTACTATTATGAAGCATGGGGACCTTCCCCAATAATTTTTAATCAAGAATTTAACCTACAAAAATTCTCCACTATGAGGTTTGTCGAATATGCTAACACAACTCTTCAATCTGCTCTTGCTAAATGGGGGAATGATGCGGACATCCAATCATGAAGATTTTCAGAGGAGATGAAGATCGACGGCCGAGATAATTCCACTTATCTTAATTTGTTATTTGTAATTTTTATTTTTATTATGAATTTTTCGTTTTTACTCTTACTTAAGAGGGTCGTCCTATGTAAGCCCTAGGGGCATATGTGTCTTGTTTTAGTTTCTTAGGCCTATATATAGAGTCCCTTGCTTGTGTAATATAATGTTGGATGATTAATAAAAAATTTTGTTTGCACTTGTGTTCTTTGGGAAGAACCTTGGGTGAGATTCCTATGGGAGGAATTCATAGCTTCCACCAGCTGCAAGATGTGTCCGGGCTCGTGCATGAAGTCTATTGGTCAGCAACGTAGTACCCGTCAGTTGTAGGATGTGTCCGGACTCGCGGTTGTATCTTTCCTTCCCTAAATCCTCTTCTCCTCCTCCCTTGACCGTCGGCCAAAATCCCCCACTTTCCACCGGCCAATTATCCCATAAACTCTTCCACTTCCACAAAACCAACCTCCCCTTCTCCCTCCCCACGGCCTTAGCTCCACCTCCAACACCCCCCGCCAACCTCCTTAGCCGCCGGTCTCTCCAATTTGCCGGTTTCATCCCCACCATCACCCAAACCCACCCGCCAGCAATCTCTTTGCCTAATATCACTTCCCTCTAAAACTCCTCTTTCCTTATTTAGGATGTTATTAATTCGGAAAGATTTCAAATTCGAATTAATCTAATTTGAATTTCAAATCCACCCTCATTAATTATATTAATTTTGGGAAGTTTTTTTTATTTAATTAACTAATCAATTTTAAAATTGATTGATTAATTAATCCCATATTCAAATTTCAAATGCTTTCATAATTAGTGCATCTATTTTAGGAAGCATCCTTCAATCATATTAAATCTGAAATTATTTCAGATTTAACTCTCCAATCTCCTATTAATGCATGGGTCCACATACATTGTATGTGGACACCTTTTCTCTTCCCTCCATTGGCCGGCCCACCTTCTATCCCCTCTCTAATTATTTATTCCCTAATTTACGGTCTAAGATTAGGGAATATTAATTACCTCTTCCCTCATTTATTCTTTTTGTTTGAAATTCGAAATTTTTTTAAATCTCCCCCACCTCCTTCCATTCTACATCAGGGAATCCTTCATCAATTAACTAATCATACAAATAAAGTAAAATGATGTGGCAAAATGCAAACACAGCACACATTGAAATAGCTTGCACCCTCATGCTTGATGCCAACTTGCCTACCACCTTTAGGATAGATGCTCTTCTAAATGTTGTCTACTTTATCAATCATCTTCTCCCTCACACAAAAAATAATCTTTCACCATACTAATTATTATACATCAAACCTTCACAATACTAATCTTATGTTGCATCAAGAAACAATCCAACATAACAAGATCATCATGGATGTTGAATAGCGAGTTATAGCCATAATAGATACATATTTGAAATGGCTCCATTGACTTTTTAGTAATTTAACATTTCAATCAACACATCCAAACCTTTCTATTAGAACAACAACTTTGCCTTACCTCTAGCCAATAATCTAGTCTTTTATGCTTGTACCAAACACATTGAGATAGAGTCTATAGACTATCATTTCATCCATAGCTACATCAAATCGAAGGATATAATCATGCAATGCATCTCATCTCAACACCAACTTGTACATATCTTCACTAAAGTTTTCTCTCTGCCACTTTCTTTCATCATTTACACAACAAGTTGATGAATCAAGAATGACCCTTATCGTGAGAGGCGAGATAACATAATACATAATCAATGATAAAAGCAATCCAAAAATCGACAATGACTACCATGATCATTGTCCTGCATACAATCACAACCCTTAATCTAAAAATATCAATTCAAACTTAGCCATGGGGAAAAAAAAAAAACCTTTGTCATATGCAACTAACTCAGCACATTCTAGATAAAACAAGTTTGGGGAGTAAATAAATAAATATCTCATTAAAAAAAGAATACCTGCTACATGAGAAATGTCAAAATGACCACATATCTCCCAAAAAATTAAGATTACTAAATGGTTAGTTTTGGGTCACTATCAAGCATGGTGGTGTCACCCAATCCTCAATTATGGAAAAACACTAAACACAATGTCTCAAGTGTGCCCACTCAAGGATATGTAGAGCCTAGAGGGTGAGTCTTTCTAAATACCTAGTATAAATCAACTAATAGATTGTTGCAGTCAAATTGAGGAAACGAAAAAATACTACAAAAATAGAAACTTGAAAAGCACCAAATACAGCTTCTTAGGTAGCACTCTATTGCCGAAACTTAGGTAGCGCTCCATTAAGCATAAGAAGAGGTGTGATGATGCAAAATGTCACTATCATTAACCAAAATAAAATCAAAGTTAGTCTCATATATTTCATCAATCAATAACCCCACAAGTTACACATGTTCGACATACCTTAAACAAGTTAATTAAGGGATTGTTGCAACCAAATTAAGAAAATGGAGACACTAGAATAAAAGAAACAAGTAACACATCAAACACAACTTCTAAGATAGTGCCCTCTGAAGGATAAGTAGGGGTGTGATGGCGCAAAATGTCATTGTCATAGACCTCAATATGCTCTAGTCTTATAGATTTTATCAATTACTAGCACCATAAGTAACATATATCTGTGAAGATTCTTTATAGATATCTTGTAAAAGTCAATTAACGGATTGTTGCTGACAAAGTGGAGTCATTAAAATAAGAGACAAAAAAGCACAAACAAAATTCTTCCCTGTGCACTCTCCTATTGATTCATCATTTATATCCATAATAATTCGGGGTTGAATCCCCTCAGCTTTCAAGATCCATTGAATGTAGTGATAGCAAATTGGAGTGATCTTTCTAGGCAAGATCCGGACTCAAATACATAGCAAAGCCAAGATTAGGATTTCAAAATCATTTAATGATTGAAACATGGTGGCTAATATTCCAAAAATATCATGTCATTCATGGTTAGTAATAGGGAGGAAGGAAAATAACGGAAGTCAGCTCTAGGTCACTGAGTTACCTTATCTTTAAGTTCTCATAGAAATGTCAATGGAATCCTACAGAAAAAGCTTCATTTTCTGGAGGCATGTCCAAGGAAAGAGACCCTTCTAAAACCATCACCACTTCAGCAATGGATGGCCTAAGACTTGGTTTATTCTGCATACACCATAGAGCTAATCTTACTACTCTCTCCATTTCTTCCAACTCAGCATCCCCAATTGATAAATGGGGGTCAACAAACTGACACAACTTCCCAACCTTACACATCTGATAAGCTGAATTACATAGTTTGTCATCATCCACGAACCTGTTTTCTGCAAATATGTGTAGCAAAATCCGACCAAGCATGTAAATATCTCTCTCCAAAGGACTCTCAGATGAAGAAGCAACATCCTTCTGTAACAAGGCATGGAGACCATAATAAGTAACTTTAACAATCATGTTCTCATCAAGTAAAACATTTTCCAGCTTCAGATTTCCATGAGGTATGCACTGCTTGCATTCTAGGTGTAAGTAGGATAGAGCTCGAGCAATTCCAATGGAAATGTTGAGCCTCTGATGCCAGCCATCCTTGCCTCTGCAATGCTTTCTGTTGAGTAACCATTGATCAAGAGAGCCGTTGCTTATGTATTCATATACCAGAACCTTGTGTGCAAGTTCGTAGCAGTAACCTTTTAAAGCAACGAGGTTTTTATGGTGAGTACTGCCCAAAGTTGAGACCAATAGCAAGAAATCTCTCTCAGAAACTACTGCATTACCAATCACTTTTACAGCCACAAGTATCTTGTTAGGTAGCATGCCTTTATAAATGCTCGGCCCTAGCTTATTCCCAAAATTCTTAGTCAACTCTTTCACTTCTTCAAGTGATAACCTAACCATAGCACTGTAGTGTGGATTCATTCTAAAATCTTTTCTCCGTTCAATTTTAGTCTGCCTTCTTCTATACAGAACAAACCAAACTATAATTATCTCCACAGTGAAAAAGACAGAAGCTGTGATCAAAAGAAGTACTACAATACCAACCATAAAACTCTTATGTCCAACTATTTGAGCTAAATGTTGCTTCGCATCCAATGGCAATGTGTTTCCATGCAAATTAGCAGCTTGAGCAGATACGGCCTCGGGGACAAGGCAGACTTTCAAGAATGAAGTAGCAGGAACAGAAGAGTAACGGTAACCACTGATAAAGCTAGTTCTCTTAATGGTGCAAAGTCCCGAACCATCATTTTTAGCAGTCACAGCAAAACAACTACTATCATTTAAGCAGTAACTTCTGCAAGCATCTAAGCTCAGCATCATATCGAAATCATGAGGAGGATAAAGGCTATATAAAAATGTCTGTTTGAGAACCAGCATGGTAATACCTGTGTTGCAATTTCCCAAATCTGCAAGTTTCTCACAATCACCAGAAGCGGAATCCTGAAGAAGGCACTCACAAGAAGGTCCGGAAGAATTATAACGACAAACATGATATAATCCACAGAAGCCAAACACATGGCACTGACTTGGCACAGCTTGCCAGCTAACCTTCCATGAAGAACTAGCATTGTTCCATGAATATATTCTCAGATTGCCATCAGCATCAATTCTCAAACGCCTGAAAGCCACAAATGGATCTTTGTAATCCTCAGTATAACAAAACCAAGCAAGACCCCCTTGAACATCAAATAACCCTAGAAGCCCATCTGCCTCAAGATGAACTTCTCTAACATCCACAGGCTGGCTCAGATGACTACTCCAATAAGTCACATTGTCCTCCCAAACAAGTGATATGTCGCCAGATCTCTTATTAATTTCAAAACTATAGTAGCTAGAAGCGGAGTCTGCCAAAGAGGCTTGTAGAGACTGAGGAAATGAGAGAGGCTGCCCAGGAAGTAGAGTATCTGTAGGACTGTTAAAACTCTCCCAGACGACTCTATCTCCACTGCCCATGAGAACCAAGTTCCCATTGTTCATGAGAGTAGCAGTTTCAACTCCAAGATAGGCAGTGCTGCTGCTCCAAACTGGCAGACCATGGCGACTAAAGTCAACTAAAACCAAGCTCCCATCCATTGAGAGCTGCAGTGTCGAATTTTCGCTAACCCTAACCCCAGCACCAACAACCCAAACGGGGACGCTTTCTCCAATGTTACGGAGATTATACCAAATTCCCACTACAAAACCAGCATCATCAGACTCGTAATCCCTAAGAAACCCAAAAGCAAAAACCCCATTTTGCGAAGTCCAAGTAATAAACTTTTCATAACCAAAAATCTGGAAGCCGAGAGGGACAGAAACCAGCGGGCGTTCCTCTGATAACCCTCGGCAAGCACAACCCAGAAGAAACATTGCCATTAAAAAAGCAGCTGGACTACCAAAAAGGTGTTTTTTGAGGAGCTTACCTCTAAATGGATGCACTGGTGCGCCTTGATTCGTTCGACTGATGGAATCCCCGTGCATATCGGCTGAGAACGCCATGGATTTCATGCGAAAGTGTTGAGAACGCACCAGTAGCAATTGGATTCAAGTGGCGGTTTTGAGCTCATGGGACGTAGGGGAAGGGTCTGGGGGTAGGAGAAAGGAGTGAAAGTGAGAACATTGGAACTGTGCTTGGTGGACGGAAGACGGGGAGCAGGTGGGAAAAAAGCCTTTCGGGGAAACCATTAGAGTGCGCCCACTTCTGGTTTTTGTCTCTCCTTTTCCGGCCTTTTTTAATGCTATGCATATAAATCTGCCTATATAGAAGTCTGATAAATGTAAAAAAAAAAGGTATTATGGTGATCAAAAGCATTTTAAGCTGCGATTATTTTACTTCAATATGATAATTTTAATCAATTAAAATTGAAATACATTAAAAATTTATTAGTATAAGATTTTTTTAATATTTTGACAAATTTTAACAAAATTTTATAAATATTTATGAGTAATCTTCAATTTTTTTATTTCTTTATCAACAATAAGCTGGTCTGATGCGAAACGTTTTAGCTTAAAATGTTTCTTAGGCATACGTGATATAATTTATTACAAATTTGTTATAGGATTCTAGAATCTTCTAGGTTTCAGGAGTTATCTACTTGCTTATTATATATAAATTATGTAAGAGGAATGAGAGAATGATGAATATAATCTCTTTTTGAAACTTTTATGCTTTGTGTTTATCTTTGTTCTCTGGATTGGATTACCTTCAAGCAAGTCCGATTCTTCCGACTCACCTGCATCATGGTCCGTTAACTTTTTATGTATTAAAACTTGATCCGTAACCTTTTAATATTTTCCAATTAAAATTTAATATCAAAACAGATATATCAAATGAGAAGCAAATAGTTGTTGAATCTCAACTCCTATAATTATTATTGATAATTAAAGGTGCAATTGTCTAATTAATTTAGGTTATCCAATTTATTCTTTAGATAAATTTGAATTAATTTTTAAAAATTTATAATAATTTGAATCATAATCATTGAAAATAGATCAAACGGTGAGATGAGTGCAATATGCATATAAAATTATGAGCATATTATGTAGGATCTCAGCCCATAGCTAAAACAATAGGATTATTTTTATTAGAATATCCTCAATTAAATTTGATTAAAATAAAAATTGGACCCATCAAATTAATTTTTATATAAATCATATAAATATGAATGGTATTTAGCTTGATCCACTCTGAATAAAAAGGTACAATCCACTCTAAAAAAAAAAAGTACAAATAAGAGAAATAATGAAGAAAAATCTCTCTTTCTTATTGATCGCCGCTTGCAGGCAGAATTTTCATTATCTTTATTTGTGATGTAATTGTTAGTAAATAGATAAAATTTATTTCTACAGAGGAAAAATATTTAAAAACAAATAAAAAAAATAAAGATATGACAATTGGTAAAATTTTAATATAAATTTATTTAATTGATGACTATATTATGTTCTCATCAATATAAATTTTATTATAATTGATTATAAGAAATTTTCTCAAAAATACTTACACCCCCCTCCCTCTTACTCTTAATAAAAAGAAAATTAGCCCAACTAAAAAATACAATAAACATTAATGAAAAAGTTGTAAATATTGGGTATCTGTCTAAAGGCTCTACTCCCAATTTATATATATGATTAAGGCTTCGTTTGCGACATCTTTCTTATTATTTTTTAAAGAAGCTTTTTCACTAGAAAACTGTTTTAAAAAATATTAAGAAAATTGTCCTAAACAAAGCATATGTTAATGTAGTGTATTTTTTTATATGACAAGAACAAAAGTTCGAAAATAAATCAAAACTTGAATTATCAGAACATAGAGAGTACAATCATCAAAGTTCCATCCACTCTTAAGAAGATTATAAAATGAGTTACCCACAATTTAACATTTGATTATGCATTAGTTTTTGTGTTAGTTCATTCATTTTCTCCTCTCTTGCTTTTGGCATAAATTACTTATTTTCTCTCTCTAGCATTTGAATTTAATTATAAAGCCAAACGCCTATTTTTTTTAATTATGTTTAACTCGTTTTACACATTTAATTTTAGCAATTAGTAAAAATATTATGATATCAAATGTTTTAAGGTTTAATTTAAATATATATATTAAGAGAATTTGATAAGAAACTGCGTTAAAATAATTATGTTTGTTTTCTTATAGTGGCCCCAAAGAAAAAAAAAAGGGGGATTTACCTACATAACACTTTAAACTCACATATTTACATATTTAACACCTATAACTGCTAATTTACACTACCTACAATTGAAATATCTTATTTCCTCGCATCTTGTACTTCGTGACAACTCCCATTTGCTTGCAGGTTCGTCTTCTCACCTTGTTCTCTGTTGATTTCCTGCATGAGAAAGCCCTCTAATATTTTTGAACACTTGTTTTTTGTGAGAACGCCCTCCTACTTCATCATTCGATTATTGCTGTGAGTTTTGAGTGATGTCATTTTTTCCTTTTATTTCTTGCCATGAGATATGCATATAATTTTTTTTCTACCTTGGGTTGCATTTTTTTTTAAGTGGTGGTTTGATGAATGTATTTGGGTTATAATTAAATTTGGGTGATATTAGAGTAAAGTTAAAGCTGAAGAAAGAAGAACATATGAAGGTGAAAAATACCAAACTATGAAATTAGAGTATGATTTGCTCAAATCCTTATAGAGAAGGTTTAAAAGATTTATCCATGACTAATTGTCATGAGTTTAAGTTACACTACCATGTTAGTCCTAATTCTCCCAAAGCTTATAAGACAATTTCAAGTGATAATGAGGTAATGCAAATGATCGGCGGGTTGAAGTTGTCGTTACTTTACAAAGAGGATGCAGAAGCTGATATGAACTTAGAAGGTTTAAAGAATTGTCCTAGCACGGGCAAAGCTTTTAATGTTGCTTCAAATAATATTGACTTTGAAAGCTTAAGCAGTGATTAGGTTCTGCGACCAATTAGTGATTGTACACATAGAGTGTGCATGTGTCATTTATGAATAAGCATATATGAAGAAGCAATTTTGTTGCTCTGATAGTCCAAGATTATGAAACATAGCCTAGAAAGCTATGAATTCCTACATAAAGATTGATTTTGAGTTGAAGTTGTAGAAAATCTACAATATTAGTCCAAGTGTTCACTCATATTTGACTTATTTACCATATAAATGATCAAAAAGTACATTTCCAACTGAAATTAAAAGTACTTGTAGCACCAACAATATGTCCAAATCTTTTAATGCTATAAGCAAACCTATGGTTGATGTTATTGATATGATTTAATAGTAAATTGATCCTTGATTTTTCTTTTTTCATGTGCAATGCCTAATTCACAAATGAATTGAGTTTCTTTATCTTTACCAAAGATTTACATGGAACAGTCATTCATTAGGAAAAAAAAATATCAGTAACATATAATTTGTTTTTTAGAAGAGGATATATTTTATTCCATAAAAAACTGTGATTAAAAGTCTTTAAGAGAATCAATAACTCACAGAGTTACCAATAAAATAAAATAAAAACCAAGAGTCAAACATCAGCAACATATAATGACATATAAGAAGTTCACATTTTCTCATCAAATTTGTTAGAAGTAATTGCATTCGATCAAGCATCCTATAGCTATTGCACCAACAGTACATATATCTGATTCCAAGCATTTGAAACACAACAAAGTGACAAAAGAAAAAAAAATTCACAAAACTATTCTCACAAAGATCAAAACAATTCATTAAAAAATTTAATGCATATATCGATCGATCGATTTATATGCATTAAACAGAACTAAAGAACAGTCACTGTAACTTTCGATGGTCTTCTTGCTGCAGTTTGCTCTTCTTTCTTAAAGCTGGAGCTTCTCCCTTTCTCTTTCAGAGCCATGCATGACTTCATATGAGAGTGCAGCTTCTCAGGCTTGAATGGTTTCCCGCATTGCCTGCAAATTTAAACAAATACAGCATTATTTGTTTTACAATTTTTTTCTTCAGCAAAAATCATCGTATCTAACTTTCTTTACAGTACTATATCAATTCTTCTTCCGCTAAATTTGATTGAACTCACGAGCAATTTGGCTCTGTAGAAGGCTTGTATCGGACGGATGCAGATTTTTCTGTCATTTTTCTTGATCCTCCATTGCTTCCTTTTTTCCCCCAGTTCTTCCTAAGTGTCATTTTGGATCAAATATTCAGTAAAAAATGAAATGTTGATCATAAGAAGAATACTATAGAGAGAAATAAAAAGTATGAAGAGCACAGAAGTAAAGCATATTATATATATAATATATATGATATATATTAGTTTGATATATAATTTAAATATATATAAGCTGCGTTTGATGTTTTTTTTTTTTTTTCCTGATAGAATAAAAATCATAAAAACTGTTGCTAGCTGTTTGTTTGATCACAAAACTTTATATATCAAAAATATTACTTGATATTTACTTCATGATAATATTTTAATCCAGACAAATATATTTAATAAATTTTTTAAGAGATTTTAATCAGCTAGAAATACAAATGACTTTTTTTTAAGTAAAAATTAATATTTAATCATTGTATTCAATACAAAGATCATAATTTAAACTCTGAAATTGTATATTTTCACTCAACCTAAACATTGCGGTTTTTCAAGAAGGGTGGTGTCTTAGAGCTTCGTTTTTGGAGAATTTTCTTATTCGCTTTTAACTAGCAAGCTTCCTAGTACAAAAATTTTAGTTTTCTTTATATTGCGAAGCTACTTGAAAAAATAGTAAACAAAAATAATCCAAAGGAAACCTTATTTTCCAAGAAAGGGTGTGTCTAGGCTTCGGTTTGGGGTGTTATTTTCTTATCGCTTTTAAGCAGCTTTCTAGTACAAAAAATTTATTTTTTTAAATTGCAAAGCTACTTTAAAAAAAAGTTAAAAACAAACATCCCAACGAAACCTTAGACTTTATTTGGGGACCGGCTTTCTTATTCCTTAAAACAATTTTCTAGAACAAATTTAAATTATTCTACTAAAAAACTACCTTATAAAAGCAGTAAGAAAGCTAGCCGTCCTAAACAAAGTCTTAATTATTACATGAATTATCATTTTTTTCTTAAGATCTACCATAATGTCCAAAAATATTAAAATAAGAATAATTAAAAAAATGATAAAGATTTAATATTAAGCTCATACTTAATTAAATATAAATTTTTTTACATAAAATATATAAATTCTTAAAAATTTACATGATATGTTTGTAAATTCCAACTAAAAATTAATGAATGAAAAGCAAAAGTGGGAAGAAGATGAACACCTCTCATTGTTGCTATTACTCGTCTGATAATTCTTCCGCGATATGGATCCATTCCGCTGGCGACTCTCTCTCTTCAGAGAATCTTTTATATCCACAAGCCTACATCTCAGGAGATTCCTTAAAATATCCGCCGCCCGCCGGCGGGGCCGAACTTCCCTTCTTCGTCCTTTACTATTACTTCTATTAACGTTACTGCCACTCTTCTTAATCACAGCCTCATTACAACTCTTCTCCTGATCTCCTTCTTTCTTCATCTCTTCTCTTCTCTTAGACTTCGCAGCTGTATGATTTTTAATAGCTTCTTCAGAAGAAGTTGAAGTTGAAGGTACTGGTCTTAATGGCGACTCTTCATCATCACCACGCGGAGGGGGCTTCGGAGAGATGTTATCTTCAATCTGCAAACTCTCATAAGATATCTCTTCTTCTTCTTCTTCTAATTCATTTTCGTCTTCGACTTCATCTTCTTCTTCCCTGTCTTGTTTTCTAGTTGAACTAGTACTCCTTCCATTGAATGGAAAGAATTGCTCGACAGCTTTGTTGTGTTGAGAAGGAATGAGTGATCCTTTGAGGATGTATTCGTTGTCAGAGAATGGAGAGATGAGATCATTATCGGTGAGATCTTGCCATATGTGGCCAGCTTTGTAGCTCCTGTAAGTTAACGAACTCTTGAGTCTCTGATCTTAATTACTTAATTAACAAGAAAGAGTTTGACAGTTTTAGTCACGATGAACATTTTCATATAGACAATGTCAACGGTTCTTCAAATTAAATCTATTTAGCGACCGTTATTTTCTGCTATATATTTGCATCTATAAAAATCACTTTTAATTACTTTTAAACAATAAAAAGGATATTTTAATCCATCATATATTAATTTTTTCCCAAATCAAATACGTCCTAAATTAAAGAGGAACACAAAGCTCAATTCTTTCCAAAAGAAAAGTTAAAGAAGGGTGAACATTAAAATAAGAAAAAATAAAATAAAATCAACAACAATAAAAATAAAATTAAAAGTAAAACCTTAATTATTTAAAACAAATAAATAATTAACACCTAAGTAATGAGAAATTAAACTAAAAGATCAAACCATATATATGTGTATATATGGAGAAATTATTCTGTGCGGACATTGGACAGGAAGAATCGTCCGGTTTGTCATTGTGAATAGGCGTCTTTATTGTTCACAGAGATAAAATCGGATGGTTCTTACCGTCCAATGTCTGCACAAAATAATCTCTCATGTATATGAGTTTAAAATTTAAAAATTGAAAACAAAAATATCTGTATAGCTATATTCCGATCTAATTTGCATCGGATATGTCAAAAAAGTATTAATTTACTTTGAAATTAATGTCGTATATAAAAAATTTATATTATACTAATCTTAAAGTAAAATTTAATGAATTTTAAGCCCATCCTATGGTGAATTACTCAATTACGTAAAGACAATATAACATAAATAAAATAAAAAAAATCAAACCTTTTGTAAGACCAAGAAAAGGATTCCGGCATTTCTCTTCCCCTAAGCTCTGATAGCCATCTCTTAACATCTACATTCATATCACAACATCCTCATCAAAACTCCATCAAAAACACAGGGCTTCGTTTGGAATGACTTTTTTACAGCTTTCAAAGTAAAACGTCAGAAATCAACAATAGCCTTATCGTATATAAATTTCACATAAATAAAATTAAATTATTAATTTTTCACACCTCGAAGATGAACTCCATTGTTGTTTAAATGATGAACACGAATCAGATGAGGCTGCTCAGTCTTTCCATTTCGACTAAGGAAGTAGACCACATGAATCCTCCTAGTTTCCCCTCCTCCTCCTCCTCCTCCTCCTCCTTCCCTTCTTCTGTTTCCGTCCATCTCTTCACAGACCTGCTTTGCTTTCTCTGATTTATTTTTCCTGCTGTTCGACATCTGCCATGATTACTGTAACGTTAATATATTTTTTTCCTGCTTAATTAATTTTATAAAATAGTCTCATTCATATCAAAACATACTCAACAATCTCTTATGCAAACAGAGAAAGTTTATAATATTTTTACATCAGATTATATAATTCATATAAGAAATTAAAAACTTATATGAATCATTACAGAGCCGGCCTTATGACTCAGTTCAAAAACGAGAAAATAATAATAATAATAATAATAATTAAATGGTACCTTGAGGATGAATGGTTTCATGGATGAGCTGGGAAGCAGTACTGTTCTTCTTGGAAGGAATCAAAGAGGAACCCTAACAGCTTTTGATAGAAGAGAGAGAGAGATAGAGAGAGATAGACATATTTATTCATAATCAAAGAGGAACTTTACGTCCATGAATTTTGTATTAGAGAAAAAAATTAATTTTTTTAAGAAGAAAATATTTTTTAAGTATTTATCATTCTTATTTTATTATCTAATTTTTATTATAATAAAAAAATATATCAGGATTTATATACGTAGAATGAGTATTTGGAGATAATTATTAATTAGTGAGAATTGGTCAAAATTTTATTATTAAATTTATTTTCAGATAAATATAATATAGATTTTTAATATAAAAAATCAATGTTAAAATGAATTTAATTATTTCGTTAAAAATTATATCTGAATATCTTAAGATCATTAAAAAAAGAAAATTGTTATAAGCTAAGTAATTAAAATTAAATTACTGAAAGTGACGCAGCGTGCCTTGCGGGTTGGTTTATATGGAGGAGAAAGGGAACGTTTCCTCTCTGCAAACTTAATTAAATTAAAATTTTGTTTGGTACAATTTTTTTATTAATAAAAATTTTAATTTTTTAACTAAAAAATTATTTTAAAAATCAGTTAAAAAGCCAATCCAAACAAACCCTAAATTTCATTATTTATAGAACAATTGTTTATTGCATAATTTACATTATTTTTTTTTATATCATCACGTAGAATATCATAAATAATTTTCAAAATACGTCGATTTATTTTGATTTCTCATTACAAATGCTTTTATTCTACTAGGGGCGTCAAAAAATAGCCTGATCCAACAATCCCATTTAAAATTTTCGGGTTGACCCAAAATTTCGAAATTCACCTTGTTGTCATTTGCGTTCATTTAAAAGGATATTTTTAGGTTAAAAGAGTCATATTTATCTAAAAATTTATGATCATCGTGATAATTATTTAAACAGGTTGGGTTCGAGTTAAGTTAGGTTTGCGTCGAACACTTTAGCCTTTATGATAAATTGGTCGGGTTTGAATCAAATATTTTCAACTAGGAAAGTATTGTAGAATTGATGCATAAAAATTATGAAATAAAATTCTTTCATCAAATGATGGGAATTATTTACATATTAATTTTAAGGATAAATCATTGAATACTTAAAATTAGCTACTGAAAGAGAGAATTCAACGAATGAAAGGTAATAAGGCTTCATTAGGAACAGCTTACTTTTGTTTTTATTTTTTAATTTTTTAAAAATATTTTCTTAATTACAGTTTTAAATATATTTTTTTTCAAAAACAAACAATTTTTATGTCTAATATAATAATGATGATTTTAAAGGCCATTAATTGATTTCATGTGTTTTACTAATGATAAGTGCGATACAATCCCAATACACTACAGATAGAATAACAAAGAAATACAAAAATTTTACTCGGAAAATCTTAAAAAGGGGGAAAAACTACGGTGCGTAGCTTAGCTAAAATGATTATACTAGTGTTTGAATGAGTTAAAAAATCTTCTTGTTCCCTAACTCAAGGATAGGGAGAATATAGTGTGTTGAAGATTTCTCTAAACTTCAAACAAGCGTAAATTTGGTAATGTCTGAATATTTGGAAGAGACTTGACGATGACCAACGAGCGTTGAAATCCAACAATGGTTGGTTGTTGGAAAGAAATTTGGTGGTGGTCAATGATCAAATGAAAAATCGGTGCTAGTAGGTTGTCGGGGAAAAAAATCTGACAACGGTCGATGGTCGGGAAGAAATCCGGCAACGGTCAATAGTCGGGAAGAAATATGAAGATGGTTGGTGGTGCTAGCTAGAGAATGCAAATGAGCTTGCTAGCTTTTCTTTCTTTTCTCCTCTCCTTCATGTGAAGAATGAGGGTTTATTTATAACTTTTTGGAATTATGTGGCTTGTAAATATGAAGAAGATCAATGGCATATTGGAAGTGTTCCATCGGATGGCTGATAGTGATTCCCTTAATCATAGAACATTTATCAAGCATTTATGTGCCTTAATGATGTCGGAATTAAGAAATTTTGGGCTCATTGAATTTTTCTAGTTGATATGGATAATTTGGAGCAAAGTTAGCTGAGATTTTTAAGTTTGGATTGAAGAACGTTTAGTTTAAAGCATAATACCAATAGAATTTAAATCTCTTGCAATCTAACTTGGAACAAATTAAGCTAGATGATAACTCATATTTATATTTTGTTTGTTATCAGCTAAAAAAATCTAGGATTTTAGGGTTGGTGTGGTAATTTTTTTTAGTGATGACAATCATTAACTCTATGGAGAATTTGGGAAGTAAAAAATCCATTATAACAGCCCAAACTCTTATTTATCGAGATATTGTCCATTTTGACCAATGGTCTTACAATTTTATCCCGTTGTTGTAACTTTCCAGAAGGTCATCAACCCAAGATTGCTCCCATATAAGCATACTTAACTTTGAAATTTTTTAATAAAATTTCAACCATTGCAACAAAAATACCTCGACATCATAAAATTTTAATCTTTTTTTTTTTTTTACTAAAGAAATGTTATTTGAAGACTATTGCTTTTTTTTTAAATTGCTATACATATTTAGATTTAGGCTTCATTTGGAATAACATTATGACTTTACTTTTAAGATCAGGACAATAGTTTCTATTTAGTCAGTATTTTTTCATTATTTTAAAAAAATTATACTAAGAAGCTGCTTTCTATATCAGCTTTCAAAAAAGTAATTTTCTTCATAGCAATTTTATAATCACCTTCATAAAAACTTGAAACCATCCCAAACAAACCCTTATTCTTTTGAAAAAAAAAATAATAATAACAACTAGTATATAACTATCATACTCAAAATCAAAATCTAATAAAACATTTTTCTCACCGCAAAATAAAAAAATTAAAAAATTATAGTTACATAAAAAATATTATAATTATCTAAAAGATAAAATTGTGAATATATTCTCCAAAAAAAAATGGTAAATATGCATGAGTTACATTAAGGATATGTATGAAGGAATTGTTACTTATGTTTAAACACAAGGTGGTTTGACCAAGTATTTTCTTATATCTATTATTATAAGTGATGAGATATTTATCACTTTTCTTTAAAAAAAAAAGTATTTACAATTACAAAATTATAAGCTAAGCAAAATCTAATATGTCCTTATCACCTTCATTAGTCGATTCAAAATCATAACCAATATGAATGCTTTTATAATCCTCCACCTCTCTACTTATATGTCCATTTAAATCTCCTCCAATAAAAACACTTTCTTCAAGAGGTATCTTTTACATTAATTATTCTAAGACATTTCAAATTTATAATTTTAAACATATATTCAAACATATTTGAGAAACATAAGCATTTTTAATATTAATAATCTTGACATCAACAATAATCTTCAAAGTTATAATTCTATCTCCAATTCTATCAATTTTAATAATATTATCCTTCAAGCTTTTATTTATAATCAAACATATACCATTTAATATAACTACTATCAAAATACAAAAATTTAAATCCTAAACAATCAATTTATTTAACATTTTCTCCAACCTATTTAGTTTCATAAATGCATAGAATATTCATCTTCCTAAGAATCATAAAATTAATTAATTTTGTTAATTTGTTTGTAAGAGAACCTACATTTCAAAATCTTGTCCTAATTTTAGTTTCATGAACTAGCTTCCTTGCCCACATCCATCCATGATGTGGGAACCCTTGCCTATTTAACATTGCACCTGAGCACCGATGCAACAACCCTTGCACACTTCTCGCTATATTCAAGCCATACAGCACGTCGATTCTAGAAAATGCCCTAGCATTAACACAATGTATTAAAAGTCATGTCATGATTATTTGACAAATTTTTGGCTAATTCTCGACTACTTAACGCAACTATCTACTTTTCTCATCCAGGATTTGGGACCTGGGAGTGAGATGGGCTACATGAATCATTTTTCTCAATTGTGTCATGTTAAGAATCAAATTCTCATTTAAATCTAATAAAGAAAGATCATTTCTAAATTTTTAAATCAAGTCATTTTAGGTCTATCCCTACCTTTCTTAACAGAAGCAGAATCTAATACATCTACTCTACTAACTAAATCATTAGAAGGGGCCACTATTTTATGTGACCAAACCATCTAAGGTAGCTCTCTCTAATCTTATCTTTCATTGAAGTTACTCCAACCTTTTCTCGTATATGCTTGTTTCATATCCTATCTCTGATAAGAGTAAAGCCACTCATCAACCTAAGCATCCTCATCTTTGCAACACTTAATTTAATATTATCATTCTCTTTTAATGGCCAACATTCTGCACCATAAAGTAACGCAAGTCACACCACCATCTTTTGAGCCATATATACACTAACAAGCAGAAAAAACAATATTTCAAATTTTCAATGAAATATGGGACCAGAAAAACAAAACTCCATTTCATTGAATTATATGGAAAAATGGCAACTAAAAGATGATGAAATATATATTTGTAACAAAATTGTACAGAATCAAGTATAAAAACTTGATGTAGGAAATAATAACTTCATCTAAAACATACCAGGCTACAAAAATGTTACTTAAAACTCATCGGAACACATCATACAGACCATATAAACAATATTCTTGGCATATAAATAGTGTAAATCAACAGCATTCAAAAAGTCATTCTTTAGGTTTATGTTTCCTTTTCTTCAGCAACCCTTTCTCTGCTAATGCCTTCATCTTCTGTGCTTTTCTTTCTTCAGCTTTTTCTTCAAATCCATCATCAATCATCTTCATTCTAGCAACACGCCTGGCTTTGTATACCTGTAAATAAATTTGATCAATGAAGTTGCAGAACTCAATGCAGGAGAAGTTTGCAATATTTTGATTCAGCAAAGTGCGGTAGTGTTTATATGAGTAGGGAGTTTGAACTCACATTAAACAAACAGGAACAAAAAGAGTTTAATGAAAGCTACTTTCTAAAGAAGTTCAAAGCAGGGGCAGATCCCTCTTTAGCACAGAAGAGATTATTTTGTGCGGCGTCCGAATACATCCGGAGGCAAATCCTGACGTGTCACGTCACCTGGTGCACTGGGGTCTGGGTGATGTGGTGTGTCCGAATTCGCCTCTGGACGTGTTCGGACGCCGAACAAAATATTTTTTCTTAGCTTAGGGGGAGCAATGGAGAAAAAGGATTCATGTAGCCGACCCCACGTAGTGGGATAAAGGCTTGATGTTGTTGTTGTTGTAGCTCAGGGGGGGCAATTGCATAGAAAATCTTGATGATCATTCATCTGTAGTGAAATATTGAATTCATCTTAATCAAGGTTCTAACTTTGAATTTTGTGAGTCAAGCTCACGAATCAGAGATAAAATACAAGAAATTGCTGTATCATATTTAAAAAATTTAAAAGATTGGCCTTACAGATTAATTCCTAATATAAGAAACACTATAACCGATTTTAATTACATCTCATCAAACGAATTTATTACTTTTTACTGCTACTTACAATATAATTCATCTTTTATTAAAATACATTAATTCTTTTATTTTATCTGAAAAATTATGTTGGTCATGTGAAGACGAAGAAAAAATTTTGATGAGCTCATCTAGGTGTATATACGCACATTTAAAACTAGTTAAAGAAGCGTATGATTACATTGCTACAAATGTAGGCATGCCACATGTCATACTCCAAGCAGCTGTACAGTGTAAGACCGGTCCTTAGTGGACTGGTCAAGCTGGCCCCTTCTATGGGGCCGGTTTGGGTTTACAACAGGAAGGGGGCAGCAGCAAAGGAGAGAGAAAAGGGTAGGGTCCACTTGATATCCAAATTCAAATTTGTTCAAAGGAGGGGGTGGCATGAGTTTTTTGGTCTTTTGGCTCTATTGTTTAATTTCATACCTCAAATATGATGAAAATTAGGGTTAGAGTTATGTTTTGATTATTTCGTTCTTGTGGAGGATTTCTTCTTGGTGTCTTGGGCCATAGTTTGGACTAAGGATTGGGAGAAAACAAATCCTCCTCTCAAATAGAGGATCAATTGTATCTTGTTGCTCTTTGTTCCATAATTTCTTCTATAAATTACTGTTTTTTGGTGTGATTTCCCAACAGATTTTGTGAGTTTATCCGCTGATTTCATCTCTCTTGAAATAAATACTTGAGATCTACAAGTGTTTCCAATCATTTAGCTTCAGGATTAAGAAACTAAATAGCACCTATAGCTAATTGTGAGTGTTTTATACCAAGCAACCAGGCAATATCAACTGAAAAGGACTTACCTTAGTGATATCCTCAAGCACCTCCTTCTCTTTACATTCAAATGCAGTCATTTGTTTTCCAACAACATTCTCAATCTCGTGAATGAGTTCAACATCATTCTGCAAGAAAACATTAAGGTTTTAAATAAGGTGAGAAAATATGAAATGAAAACAGATTAGGAGCTGCAATACTTAATGAATTCAATTTTCAGCTATAAATATCTTTCTATGCCCTGACAAGGATGTTATGAAGGAGCGTTTTCCTTGAAAGGAAATTATTCATTCACCTCACCAGAAAGATCTACAGCAGCATAGAAAATTTCTTATCAACAAAATAAACAATTAAAGCTTCTTCTAATTGCATATTTCTAGCAGAAAATTATTTCGTTGGAAGAACTTGTAAAACGAGGAAAAAAAGAAAAAAAAAAACATTGTTAAAGTGGCATAGACAAACTTAATAAATGGAAATCCAGTAAAGAATTGATGGGGGAACATCTTTACATTTGTTTTATGCAGGATTATTATACCTAGAAAACTGCCACCTCTCACCTTTTGCTATTCTCTCCACTTACTATATAACTAAATATAGCACTATAGTACGCTTAGCAGCTGGCCCCTCGATTGGCCTCTTTTAGTTGGTATACCGTCCCCTATATGGGACTTGAAGAGAACATTTTACAGTTAATTTTTACACAACATACTTCAGAGAAGCTATTATACTGTTTCATTGCTTTGTCTTGTTTTCTGTGTTTCCCTGTTTCTTTGCTCCCACAGTAAGAATGCTCAACGAATTAAGAAGAAAACAATGACAAAAATAGAAAATAACAATTTCAGAAATAAGTAACATAGTAGAATAAAAATAATACTTTTGATGACTTAGATTTTAGTGCTTTGCCTGTTGGGTCTACAAAACAGATTATTGGATAGAAATGATATTAAACCTACGAAAACAGCAAAGACTAAACTTTCAAATGTACAAATATAAGAGGAAGCGTAAACGATAACCAAACTTTTTTTCATAAGCTAAGGTTGGGTACAACCCAGATAGCATACCTGTGTTATGAAACTTAGGGCAAGGCCTCCTCTGCCTGCCCTGGCAGTACGGCCCACACGGTGTACGTAGTCCCGTGGATACCTACATCCCATTTATACTAAATTTCATTAGAATCACATCACCGTGACCAATTTGTTCAATGAAAATAATCTCAAGCTGAAAATCACCTAGGAATATCATAGTTGATGACAAGATCTACTGTTGGAATATCCAAGCCTCGGCTAGCTACATCCGTAGCAAGCAAAATAGGAACTTGGCCAGATTTAAATTTATTCAATGCAGAGAGACGGAGGACCTGAGACTTGTGAGAGTGCAAAGCAACTGCAGGCTGATCAAGTTCTTCCAATAACAAGCTTAAAAAATGACAGCCCCTATATGATCAAAAATAAAAAACATAAATCCAAATGAAAATCTCATAGGAAGTACTTGAGTTCACAAGTAACCCCGAGGATAATACTTGAGTTTGCAAGCAAACCTAACAAGATTTGGTGGAAAACAGTGAAAATACTTGCTGTTTACAGCAGTCAAACAATAAAAGTCAGAAGATTTTCTTAGGAAAACAGGGAAAACTGAGATAAACAATGGTGAAATCCACTAATAGATGAAAGAAAACAGCAAACGATACAAGTTTCTTCAATTTGAGAGGAAGAAACAGCTTTCTAAATCTCTAGCCAAGCCAAGAGACCAATAATATAAACCCTAGATCTCAAATTGCTTTTCAAATTCAAGATGAAACCCTCATTCTATCCCTAGCACCTAATTACTCTCTATTGGTTCCGCCCTCCCCCTAGGCTGGCGGAAGTACACTTGAACCAATCCAGAATGGACCGGTTCCGCCGGCCTAACTAAATCCTACTGAATATTAGAAATCTTAAAATGTAGTTTTGCACCACAGGCAGAGTAGCAAGCTTCTAACACAAAGCAATGTTATAAATGCAGGAACAAGGCAAATCCACATGAAATTCAGTGAGAAGCAAGCAATAAATTATAAATAAACTTCTTATCTTCTGCATTTTCGTGAATAAATGCAAAAAAATGTCAAGTAAAACTCTATACCTGCATGTAGAAAGGAATATCATGACCGATCTAATGCCCATATCCTCCATTTTTGACAGTATGTGGATAAGATAGACCTCCTTCACATTTTTAGGAATAAAAATGTATAGTTGTTTGAGAGATTCCACCGTTTTAAAACCTTCATATGCCTCAAAAAAGTAAGATCTATTTGAAGATATCTCAAGCAATGTTTGCAGATCGCTTGTCATGGTTGCAGAAAATAAAAGAGTCTGCCTACTTTTAGGCAAATTCTTCAAAATTACCCTCAGTTCCTCCTCAAAGCCAACATCCAAAACTCTGTCAGCCTCATCAAGAACCAGAAACTGATGAAAGAAATACATCTTATAGTTAGAAAATCAGCGAGTCACTTTCCTTTCAAAATAAATTTAAGACTGGCCTTTTTTCTTGTACCTCCATTCAAAATGAATCGATAATATTGCAAGATGACTAATGATTATAGTTTCCTTAAGGCAATTAATATGATGCACTACATGAATACATGCAATGAAAATTGAAGATTCATAAATAATTCAAACAGTTATTTTGATTGGATGTAAAATTCAATACTTGAACTGAAGCTCAATTAATAATGAAATCATAGAAAAATATGAAAAAATAAAAAACTATATAGAAACACCTAAAATTAGCAGGAAAATCAAGATAATTCCCAATTTGAATTTCTAGCATGTCAACGTTATAACAAAGTCAAGAACATGTTAATACTAAATTATGTAGATGAAATAAAACAATGAATGAACATATCGAAGTAAGAAAAATTAGACCTTGTGCAAGTGGAAGGAGATGACTTATCCAGAAATGAATACAAAAAAAAAAATCATACACCAAACTTGCAATCACAAAATTTAAACTAGAAAAAGAAATTTTATTCATGCCCAAAGTTTTTATAATTAAATGTCTCAAAACACTTATATCTATCTAGACTAAGCATCATCTTATTGGTATGATTGGCATAGGACCATCTCATCAAAGTTAAATTAAATTCTAAACTTATATCCAAAGCAACCATATACTTAAATCCACTAGCCAAAACCATCACATAACCTCAAAATGACTCATAATGAATTCTTGAAGCCCTCTACGAGTATAAATGTCTCGCACCTCCCATAATTGAACCCATACACAAATAACGCAATCTATGGAACTCGAAGAAGGCATATGTAACATCCCGCTATAATTCCACAAAGTCAGCATTTACTCTCCCAAAACAACAATTACAACAACTAAAAATTTGAAGAATATTTCCGAGATTCCATCACCTGAAGCCAAAACCACACAATTCCAAAGTCCCGCGGTGATCCAAAAACATAAGATAAAAGGAATAAATCCACAACCCACCACCAAGTCTTGCATCAATCTGCTCAACTTGGAATATTTAAAGTATGATGAATTGAACTTTTAACCTAAACCAAATAAAAAAAATAAAAAATAAAAAACAAGACCATGCAAAATCATGAAACCTAAAGCTCATAAATAAAAATATTATCCTCTATCGACCATCATCACTGCCATGTTTTTAATTACAGGAATAACATATAAAACAAACAAATTGATAAAAATAAAATAAGTTATGTTCAAATTTATGCTTGATGTGATGTTTATGAAGAGAATAAACATGAAACTTTTTTTCAAATCAGATCGGTTCAGAAAATTTCTGTTTTCACAAATATAGCATTTGATATGCACCAAGCAAAACATGATATAAATTATGTACTTCCTACAAACAATTCATGAATCATTACAAGCAAGCCTGTCATGTCAATGAATGTAATATATTTGGCATTTATCATCACCAAGGGACACAATCTCATCATCTCTAATATCCTTAGGAGCAAGTTGCATAGAATTATCAAGTAAAGGATTTGATGAGGACTCACAAGGAAGATGTGGAATGAGAGAAGAATCTAAGAAATTGCTTGTATGCTTAGGATTTAAGGTCAAATCTTACATATTGAAACTAAATTTATATCATAATTCACCAAAATTTTCAATTTGTAGATAACTATCTCTGATGCCTAGAAAATTTTTAAAGGTCCCATCTTTCTTGTATTCAATTTTTTAAAAGCTTTTATGGAAGCTTCTTGTTTTCGATATACCATGACTTTATCACCATATTCAAATTCAATGTGCCTCATATTCACATAGTAAAAGACCTATAATTACCATAATTAGTAGCCATTTTTTCTTCGAATATATTTATACAAATCATACACATGTTGTGAATGATTGTTCAAACGTGCTATGCCTAGATTATATAAGAAAGTCTATAAAATTTATAGGCTTTCTAGGTTAAATCTCATAACAATCTCTAAACAACTAATGACAATGGAACTACAGACAAATGAATTATATGTAAGTCTAATCATAGACAATATCACATCTTACCCAAATCCATGATCTTTTAGACGTCTATGTCTCTCATGCTTTTGTTTACTACAATTTGTCTGCAAGTTTCTAGATACTAAGCAGTTTAAAATTTAAATTGGTTATCAATTTCTTCAGAAGAGTTTTTCAATCATAAGTCATAACACACTAATTTTATAGGCATAAAGCGTGTCATTTTTTTAAAAAAAATCTACCACTAAAAAAAATCATGCTTTCTTAATGTTTGTGATAATCCTAAAACAAATTCAATCCTAATATATTCTCAAAAATTATATGAAATTGTTAAAGGTGTATATAATACCATGTTATTGATTTCTAACTTTAACAAACTGACAAGTCCTACATAATTAAATAATACATATATATTTTTTAGACTTGGCAAGAGGTATTCATCCTTAGTTGGGCCTTATATTTCACAAAAAACGCCCAAAAACACTCTTGGCATGTAATTCTAAAATTAGAAAATCTGTCAACGATGAACCAACAACACAAAGACAAGCACAATTAAATAAATAACGAGTTTTAATCATGTAGATTTTGTTAAGCAGATATAAAACATTATTGAAGGCTTGGTAAATTTTACTATAAAGTCCTTATAACTGAACTCTTCTGTAATATGATCAAAACAAATACCCTTAACCTATATTTTATGTAAACTGATAGAAACTCTACTCGAAGAATCAAATTTGTTTTAGACCCAACATCGTGTTTAAGGTCAATAGAATATTATTGTAAAAATCTCAACCCACTTTGCATGTCTATTGCCTAACCTTTTTTATGAACTCGTAACATATCAAAGCTTGATGAAAATGATATGAAACAAACTTTTTAGGTAATAGATAATGCATCTAATAACAAAGAGATTGCACCACAATATATAACTCTCTATTATATTTTGAATATTATATATAACATCATTTAATTTCTCACTAAAGAATACAATAGAACTTTCATATTGGCTTCACTCCTGCGATACCAACTTATGATACCAACTTATGATGCGTCACAAGAAACCTCAAATAAGTTCATAAAATTAGACAGCTTAAGTTCAAATGCAGCTGTAAGTCTCTTTTTTACTTCAAGCAAAATCACTTTGGTCCATTTAATTTTTCCACTTTTTAGACAATTTGTAATTGGAGCTCCGTTAAACCCTTTAATAAATCAGTTAGAAAATGTAGCCCCAATATACTGTATATTAGTATGTTTTAGACAATCATTAATAATTTTTATCTCATTATAATCAATATTAATTCATCTCTAAGCACAAAAAATCCAAAAATTCCCAATTGTGTCGCAGTTTAAGATATAATTTCTCAGATTTCAAACCTCAAATACCTTCCCAAGTACCAAATGATCAGCTCATGACTAGTCATATATTAAAATATTATGAAATTAAACATCAAAAAATTTCAAATAATATGCCATAAGACATGATTCTTTATCCTCATGAAGTTATATGCACACTGCTTAATGCAAAAGGCATCTCCAACCATTCATACAATCCATTTTTTAGTTTTAAAAGGTGTTTTTGATTTAAAATTTCCGCGAATCTCACTTGATAAGACCACTTCTCAAATCAAACCTCACATGCTTTCCTTTACCAGTTCAAAGTAAGCAGACAAAGAAGGCATGAAAACAAACTATCAAGCATTCAAATGAGCTGCTTCAACTGCTACCAATATATGTCAACTTAGCATAGTTTTGTTAATTATATGCAAAAACATAGGTTACTCAAATAACTAAACGTCAGCTAATTTTTTTTTTTTAAATCAAAAGAATCACCTTGGTCCTAGAGAATGCTGCTGGAATGTCTGGATCATCGCACAGAAGAGTCTTGATCCTCCCAGGGGTCGCAACAACTATATGCGGCCGCTGCACAAGAGCGCGCGCTTGGCCAATCATGTCCATCCCGCCAACAACCAGCGTGCACCTCAGTTGCAGTGACGATCCGAGTGCACGGAACTGCTCCGCGAGCTGGCACGCAAGCTCGCGTGTGGGGGTAAGAACAAGGGCAAACACACCGTAGGGCTCCGTAGCGAGGCGTTGGAGGATCGGCAAAGCGAAGGCAGCCGTCTTGCCGCTCCCAGTCTGAGCTATGCCGAGAACGTCATCGCCAGCAAGTATACGTGGGATGCAGCAGCGCTGCACGGGAGTTGGTCGCCGCATTCCAAGCTCTAGGCAAGTGTCAACAGCCCACTTTGAAAGGCCGAGGTCGGCAAAGCTGACGGTGCTGGATGCGTCCGGGTCTGGATCCCCGTGATCGACATGGGTGGTTTTTGTAGTTGACGTTGTAGGGTGCACGGTGGAGGGTAGAGTTTGCACAGGAGGCTTCGATTTGCTGGAGAATAGACGGAATGGTTTCTCCTCCATTGCTAGAGGACTGCTTGTTTTAAAGATTTGTTGGCTGTTTCGTAGCAGGATTAAGGGGCTGTTTGGATGCAGGATTTAGGCCGGAATTGTAGCGGATTTGAGCTAAATCCAGCCAAACGGCCAAAAATGCAAAACCAAATCTCACGGAAAATCAAAGCCGCAGTTGACAGAAAATTCCCTCTTTTCGTGGTAAATCCCGGATTTACGAAATCCTTAGGTTCGGCGGATTTACGGGATTTGGCCGAAGAAGCGCGCGAAAGGGAGAAAATTACCTTCACAGCAAGCGAGCTCCCGTTGTTGCTTCCTATCAAAATATGCCGTAACTTCCGATCCAACCGTCGTCGAAGCAGCGAAGTCGAACAGCGACCAAGAAGAACTCGTGCAAAACTTTACACTCATGCGAAGGAACGAAGCCGAACAAAATAGAGTGGGAAAGGAAAACCTAGACTCTTATCGTTGGATAACTTACTTAAATATAATTAAAAATATTAATAATTAAGTGAAACTAATTAAATAGTATTTAAATTATTAATAAAATTATTAGTTCAATACTTAGTTATTTTAAAATAATTAATAGGATTAAATATGATTTAAAATGAAAACAATTATTATAAAATATTCTAAATATTAATTAGTATTTGTATGCTTTATTTAAACTTCTCTTTTTGTACTTTGATTACCCTATAAATAAAAAAAAAGTTATCAGTAAAATATTTATTAGAATAAAACCCTAATTATAGTATTCATAACTGTTGCATCCTAAAATATTCACGGTGCTAGAAAAATATAAAGTTTAACATCTTAGTTTTGTACGAAGATCCAACACACAATCATATAAAAGAGAGGGTGTAGCATTCATAAGAGACACTAAAGTTTTCACGTGAAAACTCCTAAAAAGGGGTAAAAAAAAACCAATAGGCTTGGCACAATTTGAATGAGGCCCTTCTACGGGAGGAGGATTTGGCTTGATGTAGAAAATATACATCATATAGAGTGTTTTACATGATGGGAATTGAAAGTATCAATATTGACATATTTATTTGATCGGCATGACCATAGTAAGAGAGAGAAGGAGGTCAGAAAGATCATAATAAGGTGACGGTGGTTAGAAGGACCGTAGTCAGTGGGCGACAGAGGTCAAAAAAATTGTTGCCAGGCAATGAAGGTCGGAAGGACCATGACATGCATTCGATGATGGTCGAAAGGATCATAACAGGCAACTAAGGTCATAAGGATCGTAGTTAGTGGGCAACAAATTTCAAAAAGACCGTTATTAAGTGACAGAGGTCAGAATGACCGTAGTTGGCAGACGATGGACTTCGAAAAAACCATGGTATGGTGACGGAGGTTGGAAGGATCATAATCGAAGAGTGATAGAGGTCGAAAAGATTGTAGTATGGTGACAAAGATCTGGAGGAACATAGTCTAGCGATAGAGGATGAAGAAGAATAGTGATCTAACGATGGAGGTTGAAGGATCATAGTCGATAGGAAACTAAAATCAGAAAAACCATAATCTAGCGATAGAGGTCGAAAGGACCGTAGGCGACGGGCGACGAAGGTCGAAAGGATAGTTATTTGACAACTGAGGTTAGAATGACAATAATCGGTGAGCGACGGAGGTTGGAAGAACCGTAGTTAACATGTGATGGAGGTCAGAATGACCGTTTTCGATGATAGAGGTTGGATGGATTGTAGTAGGTGGGCGATGGAGATTGGAAAGACTGCTATCTTGCAACGAAGGTCGGATGGACCGTAGTTGGCGAGCAATGGAGATAAAAAATATCATAATTTGCGAAAGAAGATAAAAAAGATCGTAGTCGGTGGGCGACGAAGGTCATAAAGATTAGTATCTGACAATGGAGGTTAGAAGGACCATAGTTGGCATGTGACAGAGGTCAGAATGATCGTTATCTGGAGACGAAGGTCAGAAGGGCCGTAGTTAGTGAGCGATGGAGGTCAAAATGATTGTAGTCTGGTGACGTAGGTTGAAAGGTCGTAGTCAGTGGGAGACGGAGGTTGGAAAGACTATAGTCTGGAGACGGTTGTCTAGAGGAAGTCCGACGATAATCGGTGGCCAGAAGTAAGTCCAATATTACTTGACGGTTAGGCGAAAGTTCGACAATGGTCGGTGGCTGGACGTAAATCCGGAAATAATTGGTGGTTAGGTGGAAGTTCAACAACAATCATTTGTCGGAAGTAAGTATAACGACAATAGGTGGTCATGTGGCGCTCGAGGAGGAGCTTGGTGGCAAGAGAGATCTCAGGTATCTCTTCCTATCATCTCTTCTTTCTCTTCCTTGTTCCCCTCACCCCTCAATGAAGAATAAGAGGTTTATTTATAGTTTTTTTAGAGTGGCATGGCCAGTGAAATAGGGAGGTGATAAAGGGCATGCTGGGAGTGTTCTGAATGGATGACCGATATAGACTCCTTTGATCATGGATTGTTTATGTAGTATTTGAGTGTCTTAATGATGTCAGAATTTGATGATCTTGGACTCGTTGGATCTGATCGAGCCGCTCGATCAAATTATAAGCATATTACATTTGGAAATTGTTTGGTCGTCCAATTTATGATTATATATTTGAACCCTCCAAATGCTTTGGGTCTTCAATTTGGACTCATTTGGGCTCGGATTGGGTCGAATTTGGTGTTGTTAGGTTCATCTTTTTGAGGCATTCAGTTCGATTATAAGTTTGTAGAAATCATTTTTCGGATGGTCCTGAATTTAATTTTGGAAGTTCCCAACTTAATATGGCCTCTAGATTCATGCCCGATCATGATTACTTTTTGATGATACATATCAATAATTATAATTTATTGGTGTTATTTATAACTCATATTTAAAACACAAATGTGATAAGAGTTAACAACCTTAAATCTTAAATAGTATTGTCGAACAGTCTCACAAGATTTATCAAGATTTAACATATTTTTACTAAATAATTTTTAGGCTTTAACACTCCCAAGATTTAGTAAATTTAAATTTAGAGAATTTATGAAATACTAGTTAAATTAAATCAAACATGCATTCAAACAGTCCGTAAATTCGGATTTACAGGATTTACTAAATCCCACTATGATGTAGTGCATCATACCCATTTTATCGGTTTTATTACTTCTTGCTTGTGATTTACCATTAGGATGTGCTAGTGCCCACTTATTTAGTTTCTATTTACAATTCTAGAGGACACTTATTTAGCTTTTGCATAGAATGTCTATTTTCAGCAAGAGAATGTGTCCCTTGATAGTTTATCTTCTTCCCATGAAAAAGAGAAAGTAGCTTTTCAATATACTTCCTACAATTATCTCTGTTATCTGTTTGTTCTTGTGTTTTCCAGTAAAGCTAAATCCAATATGATACCAAAAAACTCGTTGGATTGGAGAAATTTTTGTGTAAGTTAAAACGTAGCTCGTATCCAAACTCCAATATGATTTGTACAAATCATGCGCATAACTTTTATATAGGATGTATATAATACACATCTTATTTATAAATTAAACAACTTGATTTCATTAAACTCCGGCCGTATCGGGACTCCCTACTTAATGACAAATTATTACGTCCGGTGACCGGACGTCTGGACATCCAATCCAGACGCGCCACGTCATCCAAATACACTAGGATCTGATGTATTTGAGTGATGTGGCGCATCTGAATTGGTGTCCCGATGAATACAGACACTGGACGTAATAATTTGCCCTAATTAATAATTTCTCCTTCAATTGGTAGCTAAAACTATTAAACAATATATCAAAGTGAGCTGCCTAATAAACGGTCTTTTCCGCAGTTCAACTAATATATTTGTTGAGAGCTTGAGTTCTTACAGAGAGGAAGAGGGAGGGAGGTGCTGAAGCATTCAACGAAGCAAAGGAAGCGGGTTTCTTTCGAACGTCGTATTTGTTGAGGAAACCCACTCAGCGCCGAAAATGCCACTCATTCCGCTCCCCGCCGCTGCTCGCAGCAACCCTGACCGTCTCCTTCGCCAAGTCATCGCCGCAATGATCCAGTGCCGCCCCTTCACTCCTTTCTTCCAGCCCTCCCCCTCCTTTCCCGGCTGGACCTCCGACCTTGTTTGCACCATTCTCGCCTCTATTCCCCGCTTCTTCTTCCTTTCCCACCGCTCCATCGGCCGCCAGCCATTCTCCTCCCGCCATCGCTCCCCTCTCCGCCAACGCTTCCTGCGCCACGAAACCCGACCTCTTGGCCCTTCGGCCCATCGCGAATACTCCATCGTTCTCCTCGGCGTCTCCAAAGCCCTCGAGTTCTATTCCTGGGTCCAATTCTCCCACGACGAGTCAACATGCCGCGAAATGGCTCGCCTTCTCGCCAAGTCCAATATCCTTCCCCCTCTGTGGCGCTTTCTTCGGTCGAACGAACATCTCGTCACTATTGCAACGGTGACGTCGGTGATTAAAATCCTTGGCGATCAAGGCCTCGCTAAGGAGGCGCTCGCTGCTTTCTATCGAATGAAGCAGGTGCACTGCAAACCAGATGTCCAGTGCTACAACACCGTCATAGCCGCTCTTTGCCGCGTGGGAAATTTCAAAACAGCTAGGTCTTTGCTCGAGCAGATGGAGCTCCCGGGAGCTCGGTGCCCACCGGACACTTACACTTACACTATATTGATTTCGTTCTATTGCAAGAGAAGCATGCAGACCGGATGCCGGAAAGCGATCAGGCGGAGGATATGGGAAGCTAATCATATGTTTCGGAGGATGCTGTTCAATGGGTTTGTCCCTGATATTGTGACCTACAACTGTTTGATTGATGGTCTTTGTAAGACTTACCGGATTGGAAGAGCACACGAGCTGTTCGATGATATGCTTATGAAGGGTTGTATTCCAAATAAGGTGACGTACAATTCCTTCATTAGGTATTATAGTGTTGTTAATGAGGTGGATAAGGCGATTGAAATGATGAGAGAAATGGTTGCAAGGAAACACGGAATACCCAGTTCAAGTTCTTACACTCCAGTCATCCATGCGCTGTGTGAGGGCAGGAGGTTTAATGAGGCGAGGGAGATTTTGTTAGAGATGGTTAATGGTGGTCATATTCCAAGAGAGTTTACATATAGGTTGGTTTGCGATGCATTAAGCAGTTCAGGGGAAAATGGTTTATCAGAAGAGGTTCGCAGAAGAGTTGAAGAAGGAATAGATGTGAGATTCAGACAAGTAATGCGAGTGAAGCCTCTGTTGCAAGTTAGTGGAGTCAGGAGCTAGAGCTTGATAAAAAAACAATGATGATGCTAAATCTAAGGCGCTGACTGACAAACGAATGTATGATCATATTCACCAACCATATTTTTGGTGAGAATTGCTACCATTTGGCTACTTATTTCAGATTTTGGCCACACTATTACAGTTATCTGTCTTGTAAGTATTGATAGTTTTGTAGTTGCTGTTACACTTCAGTACATTCTACTTATTCAGTTCAATTTCTCAAAGAAATGAACGGTTTGGGTTAGGTTATCTGATTTGGTAGAGTTTGGGCTAATTCGGGTCAAGTTGACAAGGGTTGGACAAAGGCTTGGATTTTTAGATGCTGAAAATTTTGTGGTGGGAATATGAAGTGGTGTTTTGAGGAAAGTTGTAAGGGATAGAGAGAGTAAAACAATACTATCGCAACTACCCATGAACAACACTAGATGGTAGAAATGTAACTAACTAGTAAGGGTAAAATGTTAATAAAAGAACAATAGCGAAACAACATAACACAGATAAATACAAATAACAAATAACATTAATAACAACATAAAACTGAAAGTTGAGTAGATCCGTGACGGAGCTTGATAGGCATACATATATTGGACACATTGAAGGTTAAATAGATATTAAGTTCTGGCGGCTTGAAAAAGTTATACGCATTGTTATTTATGTGAGTTGCAATTGAGAAGGGACAGATCTTTAGGGGCCTTTTAGTTTTGGAATATTGCCTTGCGAAAAACCATTTCTTTCCCACATATAATATATATACATAATATATATATATAATATATATATATATATACATATCCAAATCATATATATATACTATATATATTATTATGTTATCATGATATTCCCCACATTGAACTTTTTAATTTAGAGGTGACGATCAGCCTTATCCTTGTAAGTTTGTGAGCTGGATGTGAGTTTGCTCTTTACTCCTTGTAGTATAGAAGCGAAATCAGTCACCATAGTTGTTGCTTGTTGACTGAGAGATTTTGGAAGCAGCATGAGATCGACTATGCGATTGGGGAACTTGGTGTAGCAATATTGAATGGTAATTTTTTTGACAAGCGGGTAGCCATAGAATTATATACAAAGTCTGCTTGACTCAATACCTCAACCATTGTTTTGGATGCTCACCTAGTCACCTGCTAGGCTACTAATCATAATGGTTAATATTCTATTCCCCAATTTCATCTGCCCATCAGCTTGAGGATGGTAAGCGGAGCTTCGACGCATCTCTGTTTGCAGTCGTTTCTATAACTTACTTTAAAAGCAAGTGATGAATTCAACTTTGCGATCGGAAGTTAAGTTTTTTAGGATGCCATGCAGTCGAACTATGTTATTAAAAAATAATCGAGCAACATTTAGAGCATCATATGTTTGTTTGCAAGCACGTAAATGTGGCATCGTTGATGATCAATTCACTACAACCATCATAGAATCAATTCCTCTTTGGCCTTTGGTCGGCCCAAAACTAAATCAAGACTGAAATCCCTCTATATTGAATATGAAACTGGTAACAGAGTTTAAAGTCTTGTATTTTGAAGGTTGTCTTTGTATGTTTAAAACACATGACACCTTTTGATAGAGACATATGATGTTGATGTGATGGTTAGGTAGAGGAGGGTTGGAGAAGAGATCAAGCAAGATTATCAAAAGGATAAGCCTGGAGTTGAGCTTAGAGTTTTTGAAGGACTGTGTTAGGCGGGCCCCTCCGGTCCTTACTTACTCTATGCGGGCCCCACATGGAGTTAATTCAAGGGTTGGAGGGAAAATTTGAATGGAAAGGGGGGGGAAATTTGAATAGAAGGGCTGTTTAGGGATTTTGTATGGCGATGAGAGTTAAAGAGGGGGAAAGGGGGGAATTAGGTCCTCATCTTGAATTTGAATGAAAAGTTTGAGATCTCATTGTGTGCTTGGGCTCTAGGGTTTGCTAGAGACTTGTGGAGAGTTGTTCTTCCTCTCGAATCGAAGGACGTTGTATCTTTCTTTGTTTTCTTGAACCTACTAATGGAAACCTTGTTTATTTTCCTTATTTTTCGATGTTTAGGTGCATTTCCTGCTGCGGAGCTGCTGTAAAACTGTTGGGACAGCAGTTTTGCTCACTGTTTTGGGCTGATTTTGACTAGGGTTGCTGGCGAACTCAAGTATTACCTTAGGGTTACTTGCGAACTCAAGTATTTCCTATCAAATTGGTATCAGAGCATTGTCTTGGGACTGTTGGAGGCGGAAATCTGAAAATTTCAGCAATTTTTATTTCCTCCTCAAGAAGTTCTTCTTGTAAAACCGTGGAGGGAAGATGGCCGGAAAGAAGGTTGATGCACTGGAGGGAGAAATATGCCAACTGAAGGCTGATTTGGAGGAAAGAACCATTGATTTTCACAACCAATTCGCTTCCATTCATGAAAAGATGGAGGGGAGGTTCACTGCTTTGGAGAATATGATGAAGAAGATGCTTGAAGACAAACAAAATCCGCAATCCGGCGGACACCCGAAACAAGGAGGCCCACAGCGGCCATTCCAAGAGAGAATTCCAACCCCATAAGGGGGATGGAGAACCCGAAAGGGAATTCCTCGAGGAGATGATTGAAATACCTCATCTAGAGCCCTTTCTAGGGAGAGATGATATAGGCTATGAAAGGAGGGTGCAGAATTTTTTGGGAGAAGGGACGATGCTTACCGCCGTGCTGCTGATTGGAAAGAAGAAGAGGGAAATGTGATGAAGGAATCGGGTATAAACGACGACGAGGACCAAGATCGTGACTAACAAAAAAATCAAATGGGGCGACCTCCTCCGTCCAGGAACATGAATGGTAGCACGTTATGGGAAGCAACCAAAAAACAACCACCCAATGGACCGAGAGTGAGGAAATTGAAGCATGCCCATCTTTTAAGGCGGAAGACCCACATGCGATCTATAAGTGGAGAGATACTTTACATTCAATGTTGAATGAGGAAGAGAAGTTCGACCAGCTGCAGGCTTGTGCTTAGAAGAAGGCTCTAGCATGGTACTCAAATGGGACATGCAGGCGACCCATTTCGAGAGACACCTCGCGAGGAGTTTAAGGACTGTCTACTAGACGCTTTTCGAAACAGCGCAGGCGGAGGAGACTCTCAAAACTCAAGCAGTTTTTGCCTTGACATCTCTTCTCTTGG